CCCCCTTTGTTATGAAGAAGCGAGTTTATTTAAATGTTTGCTAATGGCGAGGTTCGCCTGGGTATGCATGCTACCCAGTACTATATGGAACTATATGGAGAGGACGGAGTACACCCGTGTTGCGGCACGAGTGGAGGCGATTGGTGCTTGGGTTACGCTTGTTGACTTAAGTGATGAAAATTCTCTGTTTGCTGGTGTCTACTATGTGTGTGTGTGTGTCGGTCGGTTGAGGCATCCAATCCCCATTTACGGCAGGGGTGGGTACTGGTCGATTTGTTCTGGCCCCGGGGGAGGCTTGCGCAAGCCAAGTTAATTTTCAAATAACAACCGAGACGAAAGTAGATGGACAGCACGGTACGGGACAGGGCAGGACAGGGCACGACAGGGAAAGGAGTGTAAAGAAGGAAAATATGCGAACCAAACGAAATGAACTGTTAAGTGCTGATGATGACGGTTGTGGAGCTGGAGGTGGGGGATGGAAATGGCCGAGATGATGCTGGGTTGTAGCTATTATCTATGGCCGGACAAAAGCAGAAGAAGGAGCAGAAAAACCAGCAGCAGCAGCCTCATGGAATACTGCTCAAAAGGATTGCACATTGCAGACTTAATGTAATTGAATTTGTCATTTACTCAAGGCACACGGGCAATTGCACAAGAGAGCAGACAAGCAAAGCAAAGATTCAGTGGTGAACAGAGGACAGGGAGGTTGCTTAATCAGTACTCACCTGAGCCAATGGCGCTTGGTGATGCTGGTGTGACAGCATATGGCGTCGTATTGATCCGCTATCCACACAATCAGTATGATGTAAAAGGCCGTTGTAGTGTCATTAAAGAACTCCGACATGATGGCCTCCATTCCTGCAACGAACAGTACAGTACACACATCACGTTAGATGTCAAATCACATTAGCATCACATTTTCGTATAGCCACACCTACGAGCGCCAGGATAACGGTCAGCAGCGGAGCAATGGGAAACCTAGCAGAAACATTGTACTCCAGCATTTGCAGCAGATCCACTAAGAAAAGGAAACGAAATGTCTTTAGCATCAAGGACTGGCATTTTCTTACGAGAATAATTACCTATAAAGACAAAGATCTGATGATGCGAGTACCGAAGAAGCATGGAAACGGAGAACGTCTAAAGAGAAGAATACAAAAGTTAGTCAGATAGTCTAGCCAATACTCCGTAATACTTTCGTCTGCTTACAAACAACAACATCACAGAAAAGGCAGCCGGATAGCTGCTCCAGGCAGCCCACCACATGGACACAAAACGATAGTGCTCGCCCGTGATCACATTACGCAAATAGCCCTTGTTCTCCTCCTTTTCCGCTATGGTGCGCACCGACGCCATCAGTAGGTCATCGTAGCTGCAAAAGAATGGGGAAACCATTGAGAAAATGCCTTCCAAAAAAGAACTATAGATTGTTTGGGGCTTACCCTAGCAGACGCTTGAGCAGGTAACGTGTTAATTTATCACCGAAACACTCGTTCGTATTGGGATCTAATTGCACTGTGAGCACAGGTATTTGCAGCCGCTTGCGGGTGGCCGATGAGAGGCGCAGGTGTCCATATTCTAGCGAATACTCCACAATGTATTGCTCATCTACGGTGGAAAATGCAACTCATGCTGAGATTTTCAAATTAGATAATCCAATTTCTGATTGCTCACCATCATCGTCTTCGTTCTTGAGCTGTATGGCATTGGGGTGATCGTAGGTGTCCAGTATGTTGATGGCATCGAAGTAGTAGTACAGGGTCTCGTTGCTGTAGGCAACGGTTGGGCGAACAGGCAAGCCCAGCTTGCGCAGGATCGCCTCATAGCGTTTTAGTCTATTGTAGTTGTCGAGAGTCTGAGGGCCCACGTCATAGTAACTGCAACAGAGAGCGTTTGTTCACACACAACTGGTTTAGGTAACTTTTCGGATGCTCTTACTATGAATCTTTTAGGGAACGCACAACCTGCTGATCTTGCTTGATACTCTGCCAAATGGCTCGTTTTTCCGCCAGGTGGGGAATAATCTCCACTCTGCAATTAAGTCAACAGTTAGCACAGCAAAAAGAGATGCAGGCTAGCGTGCGCCAAGGACTTGCCTGATGACACCTTCTCGCGGCCAGTTCTGCACCTCCTGCAGACAGGTGCAGGGATTCTTGATGAAGGCATTGTGCACATAGACGAGGGTGAAAAAGAACACCAGTGCTTTGGCCAGAAGCAAGAACTCGATGGTTAGCTGAACCTTCCTGCAAAACAACATGGGAATCAGCATAGATAAACACACATAGGTGCACCTACTCCGATAACCAGATAAGGGGCAATGACTCTTACCTTGGCACCAACTCCGCATAGGCGGCCGCCGCCCGAAAGTAGATCGCATGGAATAGCCTATCCCGCATGTTCATCATATTGTTCTGGAATTTAAACAGCGAAAGTTCACAGATAAGCTATTTTTTTCTTAAAACACTTCGTATGCATGTGTAAAAAGTACCTGTCCAGCACCGCCCCCTAGGCCGCGATTACGCGCGTTGGCGTTCCCATTTCCATTCGGGTTCCCGTTGATGTTATTGATTTCATTGGCAACGGCGATTGGATCGGCTGCGTTCTCGGGCAGCACCGCGGCCATGACTCCTCAGGGTCTGATCTTGCGAGAGGGGTCGACTGTTAAGAGTAACTTCCGTGTCTTGTCCGGGCCGTGGCTTCCGCAATCTCTGATTTGGGGCCGAAAATAACTCCGCTGTGTTGTTGCTGTTCTTGGTCGTGTTGTTGTGTTTTCTGCTTGGCTTAATTTTTTTTTCTATGGTGTGTGCCTCATCGTTTGCGACATCGTAACTGCCCTAGAATTCCCCCTGCTGTCACATTGAATAGAGCGAACAACAACAAATTAAAGCTTGTGGGTGCTTTTTAACTTAATAATTTATAATTTACAGAAAAACACCTACCATTATTATTGTGATATTGTGATCAGTGTGACCCAGACCTTCAGAAATATACCAAAATATACCGTAAATATACTGACGAATTCAAGTTATATTTTACATATACCTCGTTTTTTATCTTCCGTCGAATATTCCCAGCTAAATCGAACATTTAGCTCAACCTACATAATTTTAGGCCATTAATGAATCAATTTTCTACTTGGCTGGCCTATGTGAAATCTTAATTCGATAAAAGGTTATTCTCAGCTGATTTTACCACACTTTAAACAGGTGAAAAATCCAACAACCGCCCCTCGATAGTATCGACTGGATAGTAGAGCTGCGCGCCTAAGTTTGAAAGTGAATGAGTGACGAGGATATATTTGCAGTCTTGGGGAATAAATAATGTAAGGAAGTACTTATTAGAAAGCGAAATTAAAAAACCTGCGTATAGAAGTTTCTATACGCTTTGTTCTTTAATATACCTTAAAAACTCTTGGGAATCGTCAAATATTTGTTTTAATATATTTTCCAGGCAGGCGGATAATCGTTATCGATAACTCATGTTCCATGTTTCATGGTTCCAAACGACATCAGTTCCGACAATTGCGCGCTCAAAAGCTAAATTCAAATATCAAAGCCCAGAAATTAAATGCCGTGTAGAGTCGCTTTTTATTTTTATTTTCTGCAAACCAATGTACGAAATTAAATGTCTCGATGCTTCGATCTCCATTCCATCATACAAATAAGCTACATTGAATGTCGTTTAATTTTGTTTTACATTGATTGGTGGTTGTGATTTCTTTATTCATGTTACGCATTTGTTTTCTATAGTTCTCATAGTCATATATATAGTTACGCAAATTTATTATGATGTGTATATAACTACATACGTGGATATTATCCCTTTAAGCTACAAAATCATACTCATAAGATGAGAGTGCAAACGATTTCTCTGCTTTCTGCTCTCTGCTTTTGTTTTACGTTACTTTGTTTCGTCTCTCATTCTTTGAACCCTTATAAATGTTTCCACAGGCTATTTGGATTGGATTAGTTGTTTGTCTCGCATTTTTTGTTAAAAATTTCGCTATTGGATTGTTAAATTGCTGTTTTTTTACTCTTTTGGTTTTTGTTTTCTTTAGCTAGTTTTGTTTTTGTTTTTTTAGTTCTTTGTTCTGTTGTTATGTATGTATGTATGTATATTGTATCTTGTATGGTAGTATAAATTGTTAAAAATCGCTCACATACGTAGAGTGTTTCAATTCTTGTTCAGCGTGTGTGTGTGTGTGTGTGTGTGTTAGTGTTCTTACGTATGGCTTAAGATTCTTTGGTGTCTTTTTATTAGTATCTTACGATTGGTTTTATATAAAAGTTACTTAGGCAGGCGTGTTTGTCTGTGTTCGTGTCGTTGTCTCTCCCTCTGCGTGTGTGTGTTGTTTATGTGCCGACTTATATACTAATACACGCTACACATTTATTAACTTACCATTTAATATGTTCCTCTACTACTCCGTTCTTTGATTCGTTCGTTTTGTGTTTTGACAGGATCTTCCAAGAAGCGCCAAATAGTACAGAATGTACAGTTATACAGTTCATAGTTTTTGTTTTAGGTACAGCAATGCGAAAAACGAAAGTGTTGCCAATATGCATTTGCACGCGTGTGTGTGTAATTTGAGTGTGTACAGCAGTGTAGTGTGGTGTGGGGTTTGTGTGTGTGTGTGTTGTACAAAAAAGACGGCAGCTCTGCATGTAAAGCGTAACGGTTCAACACACTAAAGTATCGCTATCGATATTCGGTAATCGTAATTGTTAATCGTTCCTTAAATGGACTTCCGGCATGATCGTACATACCGTTTTGTTAAACTACGATTCTCCGCACACGGTTGATATATCATATTCTATATGATTTTACTCTTTCATTGCGATATAAATCCTCTTTGCTAAAGGTATATATAAACTATTCCATTCTGAAGTATTGACAGTCACAGGCTCTATACGAAGCATGCATGCCCTTTGTTTGTTTTTTTTTTGTTTTTTTTTTGGTATTTCCTTTGCTCATTAAATATATATCTATATGTATGTATGCTATTGTATATACTCAATACGTTTGTATATAATATGTATGTAGTATGTTTTCCACTCTAGATTTAGTTTCGATACTCCTCATCTCGTCTCATCTCCTATCTTCTCCTATCCTCTCCTCTTCTCTTGGTGTAAAAAAATGCTCTTCCCTCAACCTCTCTCTAAACTTCTGTTTTGTTTTTAAAAGCGTATTTTTGTACAAACACAAATCGACAAAGGACATTTGTGTAATTAACATAACATTTAAACTATTCGATATAAAAAGTCTTGAGGCGTTAGTGCAGTGTTTCATAGTAGGCCTGTCTCCACGTTGTGCTCCGTTCCCAGGGTGTTTGGGTCAAAGTTCAGCTTCATCTCGCCAGCCAACACGATCTCCGATATGCAGCCCACGATGCCGCTGTAGTAGCGCCGATGCGTGAAGTATGCCACATCCGGCATTCCACCTAAAGTACAAAAATAAATTTAGCATTGATTCAAATAGTCTCAAAGAGTGGATATTACTTCCATCCATATCCCAATACATACCAACATATAGACCCGTATCCGTGTTTAGTTGACGCAGTTTGCCAGGCGCTCGCTGCGTGGACGTTTTGCGGCCATCGACCTCTAGATAGCCCTCCTGTGAGTTCCTGCAAAAGGGGATAATCATCGGTAATCTATTTACTTACAGATCAATCATGTTGTCCTTACCTTATGGCTCGCACACGATGCCACAGGCCGTCGCTGACCTTGGTGCCATTGAAGAGAATGTCCACCTCACCAGAGCCCAAATCATAGCGGAAGTGCAAGTATCTGGTGAAAATTTGAATGATAAAGTGGTATTCGGAGGATCCCTGTAGGATCGGTACTAACCCCTTTTCAATGCCCAGAGACAAATAGTCGTCGTGCTCATCCGTCGTTCCCTGGCGGCCCGTCCATAGTATGACGCCGTTCTCCGAATGCGTCTTGATGCGCAGATTAAGATCAATGTTGTAGCTGATGATCTGGCTCATGGTGTCCGCATCGTTGTAGTGGAAATAGCTGTCGGCGCCGGCGAAGCAGGCCCCAAAGTTCTTGCGCACTCCCTGCACCTGCGACTGGTGCTCCGCGGACAGGTCGAACTTCTTCAGAAGGCTCCAGTCCGTGTGGGTCTGTGGTGTGGTGGAAGCATAGGTCTCCAGATGAACTTCCAGCTCTGAATGTAGCACAGGCGACAGCAGTTCATCGTCATCGTTGTAGTCCTCACTGTACTGCGCTGTCTCGCTGGAGGAAACCCCGCTGGGTGCAGCCTGTACTTCGGGCTCCGCCTTTTTGTGGTTGCTGTGCGTGTTCGAGTTGGACATAATGCGCTTCATGTCCTCGTTCAGCTGCTTCCGCTGATATTCTTCGGTCCCGTCCGAGGCATCGAACAGGGACTCATCAAAGACAAAGGCATTGCTGTCGTCCTCGCCCGACGGGCTCGGACTCTCCTGGCTGCCCTGGCTGCTGGTTGCCAAGGCATCGGCGAACTCCTGCTTTTGCAGACTGGCCACCCAGTCGTTGTTGTCTTCGAATGTGAGGATGTCGCTGTCCGGGTTCGTCTGGAAACTTTCATAGTGGGTGGGCAGGCGGCTCAATTTGTGAGCAAAGGCTGCGTTTGGCTTCTGGTGGTGCTCGTGCTTGCTCACTTGATGCTTGCTCGAGTGCTTGGCCATGGTTAGAGCTGGAGTTGGGGGAGGATTTGCGGAAGGAGAAGGAGTTTGCGGCTTTCTCATCTCTGGCGTCAGCTGCTGTGGCCGCTCCTGCTGCTGCTGCTGCTGCACAAAGCGGAATATGATATCATCTTCGATTTCCTCATTGCTTAAGGCCCCTGCTGGGGCTGTGGCTTTATCATCCGTCACCCGTGGGGCTGTGGCGTGGGGCTTGGCTGTGGTTGTGCTTGTGCCTGTGGTGGTTGTGATGGGGGTGGTGCCAGGTGGCTTATGCAAATGCTTGCGCTTCTTCGAGTGCTTCTTGTGCGCCAGGACTGAGACTTTCTTGGCCACGGCCTCCTCCGTGTCTCCGTCTACGTCTCCACCCTTATTGTGCTTGGTCTCGAGGACCTTGGACTTGTGGAGAGCCGGTAGCAGTTCTGGCGGCACTTCGGCGGCCTTGTTACAGCGCTCGTTGTAGATGCTGCAGCGGCACTCGTAGCTCTCCATCTGCGGCACGCACTCCGCCAGGGGTCCGCACGGTCGGGCCACACAGGCGTGGGGGCAGTTGCCAATGTTGCTGCCCCCCAGTGCCTCGGACACAATGCCCAGCGAGTGGCCATTGATATCAATCTGTGTCGCAAAGAAAAGGGTACATTAGAGTATGGCTGCTGGATATCCGAGCTCACTTACCCTCTGAATGCATCCCACAAAGAAAGGCTTGTACTTGAGGTCCAGCGGCAGACGGTCGACATGGTTGACACCGCCCACAAAGAGGTTCTGCTCCAGGGACAAGTGCCAGAAACCATTCGAGGAGATGGTCATGACCTCCTGGTGCTGATCGATCTGTGGAAAAACGAGCCAGGGTATAGAAGCCATAAATTGATGGGGATTTTGCTAGCCTTTACCTTGAGCACAGCCAAACGGGCAGTTCGAGAGATCTTGATGGTGTGCCACTGGCCCATGCTGAGAGAGTACTCGCTCCTGCAAGGAGAACACCAAAGAATGAGTAACTGATGGAGACTAGGCATAATCTCACTTACCGGACTACGGCAGGTCCACTTCCCAGGTCGAAGGCAAACTCCACAAAGCCATCGTTCAGATACAGGGCAATGAAGTCGCCTCGCTGCTCTGGGCCCGAATACAGGATGAGGCCATCCGCCTGTTCGGGCTTCAGGATCACCTTCAGTTCCAGCCAGATCAGCGCGCTGTCACCCAGCGGCGCATAGCGAAGGAATGACGACCCATTGAAGGCGGGCACCTATTATAATAGTTTGCATTAGAACACCCAAAAAGAAAGCCATTAAACGATGAAGCTCACCTGCAGATCCATGCGAATCTCGCAAAGGTCTCCGACGTATCCAATGGGACAGAGACAGACGGCTCCCTGATCCGAGGGCAGGCACTTGCCACCATGCTGGCAGGGATAGCGCACACACTTGTCCGTCGAGCAGTCCTCTGTGTTGTTTACAGACAATGAGTTTAGCAAAAGAACCCCGAAATGACTGTATAACACTCACGTATATCGAAGCCATTGGTGACGTCGCCTAGCGGATGCTCGGTGAACTTGTAGTCATGCTCGTTGGCCACAAAGCGTCGAATGCAGCCGGAGAATCCCTCGGCCAGTGGCAGGCGCTTGGCCAGGCCGGTGATATTCCCAATGCCACCCAGGAAGACAGGCTCCCGGAAGGTGATGCGCGAGAATAGGCCCTGGCAAAGAATTAAATCAATAAGAAGGGAACTTCAGGGAGGTGGCTTGCCCCACTCACATTGGATCTGCCCTGAACCTTGGTGCCATGATTGAGCACCAGCCAGGCATCCCAGCGATGGCGATAGATGATCACCGAGTTCCATTCGTTCAACATGATGGTCTCCCGGGATCGGACGCTGCCCACGCCAGAGCCGCAGTCGAACCAGAACTCCACGAACCCCTTATTAAGCAGCAGGGCCATGAAATCTCCGGTAAGATCGTCGCGTTCTCCGCTCAGCAATATGATGCCGTCAAAGGACTCTGGACGGAACTCCAGGCGCAGCTGGACGTGCTTGTAAGCCCCGTGAAGAGCGGCAAATGCCAGCCAGGAGCGCTTGGCAAAGCGCGGCACATGTGCCCGTATATCTAAAGGGCGAAAAACAGCCGATATTAGCTTCATATCACATCGCCCATACAACATGTATCTCTCACCTTCCTGGCAGCCAATGCCCGTCTTGCCAAAGGGACACAGGCAGCGGGAGCTGGCCGCGGTTGCCTCCAAGGCACAGATGCCATCGGATCCACAATCTAGATTGCAGCTGGAACTGCTGTTGGAGATGGCATGGAATGAGTCATTTGAAATATGAAATGCGGTCGCCTCGTTCTAATTAGTTTGATGAGGATTCCCTTTACTGTACCCACCTGCTGGTGCTGGTGGCTATCGCTGGCGCTGGATCTGCTCCTGTAACTCCTCCCATTTCTACATCCGTTCCTGATATGTTGTTCCGATTGATGTATACCCTCGTGATATGCATTTGAACCTTGCTGTTGCTGTTGGTCCTGCGGTTCTTGTTCTTGTTATTGTTATTGTTCTTGTTATAGTTCTTGTTCGTATTGCTTGTCGGCTGATATGTTTGCGATTTGCTGTTGCTATTGGTGTTGCTGTTGCGTCTTAAGTTTAATTGATTATTGTTGACATCGTCGTAGATTGACATGTCGGACTTGTAGTTATAGTAGTCATCCCCACCATTCGCACCATTGCTCTCCCCATAGTCCACATCCAGTTGATTCTGGCTGCTGCCCCTCGCTGTCATGGGGGGGACTGGGGCTCCTGTTGTGGTGGTGCTGGTGCTGGTGGTGGTGGTTTTAGGCGCTGCGGTGGTACTGATTGTGGTTGTTCTTGACGTGCTGGCCGCTCTAAAATCGGCCACATCCGGCTCCGGGCCATCGCCCTCCGAATTGAAATTGATGCTCTCCGCTGATATGTAATAATCGTTTGAATTGACTTTTTGTTGCTGCTGCTGCTCTTGCTGCTGCTCCTCCTGCAACCTCGACCTGGAGTCATCGCCCTCGCTGTAGTCGTAGCTATCGCCATCGGAGTCGGACTCATCTTCTCCGTTCCCATTGCCCCTGGTCCCTGTGGCACCGGGGCCAGCTGCACCGGCATACGCCCCCTGGGACATCAGTTTGCTGTCATCGTTGGCCAGCTTCGCACTGAACGAGGCTCCCTTCTGATAGAGGACATCCTCGTCGGACTTGCCGTGACCATCGGATCCATTTCCTGTCGAATTAATAACTGCAAAGCGGAGAAAAAAACAGCGAAAATGGAAAAGGTTTAAGGTCATAGAACTCGCAATTTAAATTAGTTTTTAACAGGAGCAGACAAACATAGAACTATGAAAGAGTCGCCTAGCTGAATACCTTTCAAAGTATTTTTAATTGAAAAAAAGTTAAAAAAAAAAATTTTGAATTTATTATTAATTTTAAATATTTTTTGGCTATAGGAAGTTTTTTTATGAAATGGGAGGAGAGCTTTGCATAACTTTGCTACCGGATACTCCTCTTCAGACACGCAATTGCGAAACAAATTACAAAACTCAAAAATTCCCCAACTGTCAAATGCAGATATAACGTCGTGTATAGGCTTCCTCTTCTAGAATTGAACCTAGTATTTTACTAGTATTTCGCAGCTCATGGTTTATATATTCATTTGATATCCTGCAGCTGGTGTGTTGTAGCAAAACACCCAAATATTAAATGGAAAATACACATCAGGAGAGAGACGAGCTACAGGATATGCAGCATGCAACAATATCAATATACGAATGGCCGGATGAGCAATTCCAAAATAATAATTCACCGACGTAAATGAATAAATGTAAATAATAACAAAGGTTGCACAGGCCTAGCCCCGACACCCATCTCGATTCGATGCCATTTGCCATCCATTACAGGCCGATTCCCGGGCAATAACTGAAATGCCAAATCAATTTGGTGTTTTGGGGTTTCAGGGTTTCGGGGTTTCGGGGTTTCGGGGGATGAGGTCCCTCAACGCACCTTGACAGCTGTAACCGTTCTTGTTCAGCTCGTAGCCCTCGATGCAGTCGCACTCGTACATCCCGTCGTGGATCTCATAGCAGAGCTGCTCGCAGGGACTGGTGTGGCCGCAGTGACCTGTGAAGGGAGGAAGAAGGGGAAGAGGAGCCATTAGCATTTTGGGTGAGGTGAGGCGTAATCCACATAGATGTATGATAGGGAGGGGCGTGTTTCTGGTCGAGCCGAGTCCAGTTCATAATTTCACTCCATTTTAGTTCGAGTTGAGTGTCCTGCGTGTCCAGGTCCAGGTCTGGGGCTGTCCGGATAGATGGGTGGATGGGTGGGTCTTCTCTGGGTGTGACCGACGTGTCCGCAATAAATTCTAATAAGCTTTAAGGACTTTGGGGCTGGTCTGGTCAGGTCTGGTCTGGGTATCCTGCTTCTGGTTTCTTGTAGAGGCATACGCTTTTGGTAATTTACTGCCTGGCACTGCTAACATTTCGAGCACAGTCCGGGCCCTGTGTTCTACCTTCCGCCAGCACTCCAACTGTTGAGCCCTGCCACACACACACACGAGGTCTTAATGACTACTTAAATAACTAGGATGGTGTTTTTCATCGTTTTCCATAGATATTTAAGCCGAAGAAAGGTTTGGGCTCTATGTTCGATTGGCATTCGAATGCAAATTTCTTACGATAGAGAAAATCAGTGCCATTTGTGTAAATGCATTTCACTTGACACCGAAAAGTGTGCCGCCACCTCTCTCTGAGGCGGAAAGAAAAGTATAACATTACTGGCATTACGCATACGCCCGAGTGGCCCGCCACTTACGTCATACATTGTATTAAATGGAACGAACTGGCACAAACACACACACACCCACACCCACAACCCATTCCAAAGTGGTGGAGAACGAGAAGCAGCTAAAGATGGAGACGGAAGACACGAACACGTCAGCTACTCTGTTAAAGTGCCATCAGGAGAGCCAGTGGCATGAGGCATGGGGCATGGGACATGGGACATGGCACAGACACGCTCAGACACAAACTCATGCATGCATGCAGGCTTGCTAGTTGATTAAGCAACTGTGGGGACGATTAAAGTGCACTGGACACTGGAGCATATACACAGCTCACAGAGGAAGACACACACATTTGCATATGCACACACAAGTGACACTCCCTGGGCCGCTGTCCCTCCATCCGCTGCAACTGCAGCTGCCTCTGCCTCTGCCTGTGGCATGTGCATTGCGTATTCAAATTGAAATTGAAAAATCGCATTTTGCATGCAATTGAAATCGAAGTGTCAGCATCAGAATCAGCATACACATCATCCCATCAGCTCCACCGTCGGCCCATCAACTGTTGATGTCGTTCCCCAAACGTGAGTGAAAAATCGTCAAACAAAATTCCCATTGCATAACTAGAGCACATCACATACAGATCTCTCCCTTTCTATTCTTCTGCGAGTTTGTCTGACTCAACCGCACGCATAATTAAGTTGCTCATTAATGTCAAAGGCATCGGTTATGGTCACACAATAGGGTGACGCTTATTGATATGTCAGGGCGCAGTGCGCTCCACTTCAGGCCACTCTTCATGGTGCTTCATAATTGAAATTCCAATACGAAATACGAAATACCAGAATTTCCGCTATTAGACACCTGCATGACAGAGGAAAAGGGGAGAGAGGACAAACGGAATCAAATGTCATACGCACCTTGAAAGGCCGCCTCCTCTGGCTCCACAATGGCACTGACAGTGGCGCTGGCCGTTGAGAGGAGAAGGAGCCACACGAACCCCGTTCGATAATGATGATGTTGACGCTTTGAAGTGGACATGGTTCTCTTGCTCTTCTCCCTAGGGCTCGGTTGCTAGTGGTATTGGTGGTGGTAATGGTCCAGTCCACAGGTGTGCTCAATGGCTCGCAATGCCTGATATGTACTCCTCTTTTTTAGTGGCGATGTGGTGGAATGAAATGGGTCGCTCCTCAGTTCAGTGGTAAAGTTCTCCTGTCGGTAGAGTCCCAGTTTCGATTCTGATTCTGATGCCGATTCCGACTTTGGCCATCAGCCAGCGGCGAGCATTGAGCGTGCATACGTCTCGGCGTTGAATATGCGACTGTTGCTCGGCCTCTTCTGCTGCTGCTGCTGCTGCTGCTCTGCAAAATACACACACACAAACAAACAGGCGACACAAGCGCGCAATTAGTAAACGTAGCCCAAAAGCGGAGGCAAAGCCAAAAGCAAATCAAGTGGTCATTATATTATAACCGCAAATTGCTAAACACGCAATGTACAAATGGAAAATCGTGGCAAGGAGCTCAGCGGTGGGTATTGGGCATTCGGTATGGGCATGGGTATTGGCTATGGGCATGGGCATGGGCATGGGCATCATGGGCCTTGGCTTCCCTTGGCTCCATGATTCATGACAGCAGTAAAATCTATAGGGGCCGCCATGGCAACGCCGCCACAACAAATAGACAAAGCCCCTTAATTTCGGTGTGGCATCAAACCCCAAGCAGTCCTGCACACAATTCACCCACACCCACCAGTCATATCAACGTCCCCTCTTAGTGGCGTGCCACCTGACGTCCTACCTTAAGCCAAATATATTTACTGTTGGGCCAAGTAATTAGAAATCAATATGTCGACAATTTGGCAGAATATGTGCCCATACCCGTATATACCCCATACCTATCCAAGTCCACAAGCCGATGGACGCAGTCGTACTCGATCTTTTGTGGAAAAATCGAAATCAGAAATGGATAGGGATTTTATTCCTTTCAGCCAATTGAAAATTGAAATGTCAGGTGACCGAGATGAGAAAAATATGCGGTGATATGCACTTAAGCCGTGACACACGTAAGGACGGACCTAGTTGTTCCTTCTCTCTACCTCTACCTCTAGCTACCTCCATCTCGTTCGCTGCTTCAGAGGAGTGTGTAGCATACTTACTGGGGCAACCATTGCAGCCGCACCATGAAACCGTTCTACACTCTGCTGCGTGCTCATCTGCTACTGCATATGATACTCTGCCTTCTCTTTTTCTATGTTTTTGCTGTTGTTTTATTTATATATACGCTATGCTACTCAACTGGGACATGCCACTCTGAGTGGCGCGGCGAAAGAGAGAGCGAGAGAAAAACCTAAGCCTCCGATAATTCGCTGCAAACTGAGTTTGGGTTGTTTTACAGAGATACGTATGTTTTTTTTTGATACTGGGGACTTAATAGTATTATTATTAAATAGCAGGCAATGCGAGCGAGACCAGCAGAATTCTGCTTCAAAAGCTGTGCTTTTAAACCATTATGTCTCCCCTCCACACATGCACATACATATACTCGTATATATGTGAACAAAAAGCTCACAAGTGATACGCTAGCATTGGGATCCGTTTGTGGAATTGAAAGTATCATTTATGAAAGCTCTCAAACGGATCGGTTGCGATCGGTTTTTCTTTTTCGATATTTCTATTTGTTGCCTTGGGCAAAAGGCACGTTTGTTGGTTTGCTGGGTATATGTCTAGTTTTGAATTCACTCGGGGATCGGCAACCGTCCCACCCCGTTGAATGTTACTTTCTCCCATCAATCGTTGTGGCAGCCAATTATGTACTATATTTTGTATGGCAATTTTCATATGCCCTGCGCTTTTAAGTCGTGCGGACGGCCCTGGGCCGCGCTTTACTTTAGTCTCTCTATTTTTTATATTTTTCCTTTTGTTGATGCGTGTGCCAGTGTCTATGTGTCTGTGTGTCTGCCTCGTTGCCTCTGCGAGTGTGCTTCTGTTTACGTGTGTGTGTGTGCAGGATGAGGGCTGGTGCCGTGGTAATGGGCTCTTTGGTTGTGCGTGCAAAAAAAGTTTTCCGTTTATTTTTTACAAGTTCCTGGTTGGGGCTAAAAAACCCATTCCGTAACTGTCTCAACTTGGGATTTTTTCATTTTTTCATTTTCTTTTTTTTTTTTTGAGGCCCACCAAATGTTGCCGTATTCGTTTTATATCGATTTTTCCACCTTGGCTACTTACGCCGCCAGACTCGAACACACTCAAACTACTACACGCACGCAGACATTTAGACAAACGTACGTATAGACCTGTTCAGCAGAGGTTGACATACTACTCGTATCCCCATATCCCATGCTCGCCCTTCTTTTTGTGACCACCCTCCCACTCTCTTTATATATGTACATATGTATGTCGTATTTCTTTCATTGGGGATTTCATTCTTACTCTACTTTTTTTATACTTTCCGCTTTGTTGTATTCCTTTTTCCTTTTATGTTTTTTTTTGTTTTTGCATTTTTATTGCGTTTTTAATGGCATTTCTTTCCGGTACGACGCCTCCGAATGGCCAGCAAATGTTGAAGGCTGTCGCCTGTGCGGCACCGCCATAGAGAACCCAGGAGTTTGTTTTTTTTTTGCATGCCAAAATGCATGCCAGCCACATGCACGTGTGGTTGAGTGGGGTGGTATGGAAAACTCATTATTCAGGTAAATGCTGCTGCTTCACAAAAACGTGCGCTCATTTGGCTGGAAAATGTGTGTGCCATGCAATGCCGCAAGAGCTGGCAACTTGAGAGCTGAGTGGCTTTGGAAACTAATTAAAACACATTGCCATCGAACTTAATAGACTCCCCCATAACCATAACCATACCCATACCCATACCTATACCCATACCCATACCCGCAATATCATGAAGTCTATAAAGAAAACTTGACGCGTCGACCCGAAAAAGTTGATCAACCCAATTAGTCGGCTAATGGCCTAAAATGAATGCTTAAACTGGCATTGATTTGATTGCACAATTAAGTGCTCATCGCTGGCCTCTGAAGACTGAATGGATCCGTACTGTGTCATTTATCACAGATTATCGCCACAGCGGGGGACTCTTATGCCGTCCGAGAGTTAAGCGAGAGCTCCGGTATAAGCTTTTGGAGGGCGATCCAACTATCGTAAATTCAAAACTTTTTCACGCTGCACCAGAGCTAGGAACGTGACCACAAAGTGAAGAGGGGAATTTTCAAGGGATAACATAACACCCAGTAGATTCTCCCCGGTCAGAACAAATGATAAAATGGAAGCTGCACGAAAAGTTTTCATAGCCAGAGAAATGCTGGAAAATACAGAACTATGCAGCTGGAAGAGTGAAAGTGGTAACTAAATTATTTGCAGGGATATTCGCTACAGTTTCTGAAATGCATACAAAAAGTGGTGGGCCGCTGCAAGGAAAAATCCCATTTCCATTCCCGTTCGCATTCCCATTCCCATTACCATTTTCATTCGCAAGAGGCATTGTGCACGGGAAAACCTGCTCGGCCAAGGCTTTTCCCTTCAATTATTTAGAAGTTTCTCTCGATTGTGCGGCTGCTTTATTGATTCAAAAGCCGAACAAGGCCAAACAACTACAAAATGGCGAGTATATCCCGGCCAGAGTGGCCTGAGTGGCTCTCTGGAACGGCGGCTACTGCTCCTGCCCGCTGATGTCACTGATGGCAAAAAGTTTATACCGAAAGCCAATAATGGGACAGCCCCAGCACTACTCGTAAAACAGCAACAAGAACCACAACACAAATACAACACAATACACAACAGAAAAGAGAGAGCGGAAAAGTTAAGTTGGAATGAAACAAAACAAAGCAACGCGAAAAAAAGAAAGCCAGAGAGAGAGAGGAAAAGAAATGCTGGCAAAATGGAACTGTAGCAAAACGTAAAGGGAAGGGAAGCGAAACCGTTAAGGCAGCAATAAATTGTGTTTTTATAAGGTAGGTAAATAGAGCACAAAATCCGTGAAGAGCCCAGCCAATTGAAGGGGAGCAGCCACAAAATACACACACAAAAACAAGAGGGGGAAGCTGTGGAGAGGAGGATTTATCATTGGGGGCACGCATGCCACAGACAGAGGCAGAGGCAGAGGCAGAGACAGAGCCAGTCCCCAGACCACGACATTCGGACTGACCAAATGACAAGAAGATAGTCGTAGAACGAGAAACAGTGGACACAGGCTAATTAACCTTATAAAGAGAGCAATTCATATGAATTTAAGTAACAAATTCATTTGAATTATATGTATACATATGTTGTCAGGGTAATATAAGCAGGCTAGTCCGGGACTTAACTTAATTTGCTCCAGAACAAGTCCAATCTAACACTGATCCACTAGCACTACCCCGGCTCTCATCGGAAGCCCAACATATGAACTATGATTTTGATTTTGATTTTTGATTAACTCAAGCTTCATCTGTTCATCTACTCGTATTTTCCCAAATTATGATCTCCTTAGAAGATACGCTTATCACATCAATTATGTATTAGTTACTTCTTTCTATGCAATTGTCAAAGGACACAGGTAGGCAAGAGGATTTTTTCGCAATTATGGTGTATTAATTGTTAAATGATAAAACACGGTCTTAGAGTTTTCAGTTCATATCAGAACAGGACTTTGAGAAGCCCCCAAAGGCAACAAATTCAAATGTTGGCCCATCAGGAGTTTCCCCTGTTGTAGGCTTGAGGCTTGGCGCGTTTTTTTTGTTAGCTACTACCTCTCCCGCCTGGGCATTGAGTGCTTAAATATCTGTTGGCCATGGTAAAATCGCACATTCGCATACGAGTCTGGGGCCTAATTTATGGCAAATTCGCAGGTGCCCGCTTTACCAAGAGAGCTGTCAAAGACCGCGTTCCTTTACGCAAAAACAAAGTGGCAGCAAAGTGGGAAAGCGGCGGGAAAAGCGCCAGCAAAAATGAAAGCAAAAGAAGTTGAAGAAGAAGAAGTAGAAGTAGAAGCAGGGAAAAACACCGTTGGCCAAAGCAATTTCCCAGCAAAGGACCTAAGGACTAAAACAAAAGCAGACACACACACACACATACACAGAAAGAGTGGGAGTCGAACGTGACGTCTACGTGTAGGTGTGTTTGGGTGTACTGGTGTGTGCTAGTGGGAGTGTGTGTGTGGGTGAAGGAGGGTGGAAGAGAGCAAACACCAAAGGGAATTCTTGTAACTCTGGAAAAGGGGAACTCCCAAAGACTTTTCAGCTGCTCGTAGATGGAGATGTGAATGAACTATTAATTATCAACATCAAAAGCATCATTATGCCCGTACATCATCATAGTCATCACTATGATCATCGTCATGGATTGGAACTTTAGTTTGACCCAAAATTACAACAACTAAAAGTTCACCTCCACTCAGTCTGTGTGTGTGCTTGGATGTGGGTGTGGGTGAGCAATTGGCTACTTGAAGTGGCCCCACTTTCCCTTAGCTGCTCCTGGCCACATAAATTTCCATTATTTAACGTTCCCTGTAACTGTAAACTACATATAACAATAACGGCACTTACTCGCTCTGTTTCTGTTTCTGTTTCTGTTGCTCTTTCTGGCCAAGTTCCGTTACTCTGCCTCTGGCTCCGTCTGTGCTTACAGTCGCGTCCCATCAACGTTCGACGTCTTCGCTGATTTTTGCCTCTGGTTCTGGTTCTGGTTCTGGTTCTGCTTCTTTCTCTGCTTCTGGTTTTATTTTTCGGCTTTCAGCGATTTTCGTGGTATTTACATTTACACACGCTCTCACTCACACACACTTCCACTCTTCACTCACCCGCAAGCACACGCACACAGTGGCACATTCAGCTATCGTATAAGGCTGACTTTCACATTGCACTTGTAAATCCTCAATTGGTGGCGAAAACCTTGAGCTTTCGCATATAAAATTATGTAGAATTTCCACGTTTGGTTTAGTTTTCTTTTACGTTTCGTTGTCAAGTGCTTCGTTGTTTGTAGAGTGGTTGCTGTTGCTGTATGTATGTATATATATATTATTTTGGTTGTATCCTGCGAACGGATGTCTCTGATGACGGCGGCGCTGCGTTTTGTTTCGTTTTATTATACCGTTATGTTCTGGAGCGTAACGTTTTTACACTCTAATTGACGGGAGACTTCTGAGCGTATCGAAGGCAATTGAAACGATGTGAGCCCCAACGGAGAGCCGAAACGGAATCGCAACTGTGGCAGTTGGCCTAAAGAGAGTGCTACAGAGAGAAAAAAGCAGTCAGAAATACAAAATAAACCCCAACATATTGTTAACAGAACTGAGAGCTACAGCGTAAGCGCGGGAGAGAGCTTCCTGGGCTATCGGTTGGACGATTATCCGGGCATGTAAAGTGGCGCCAATTCAATTCCATGCTAAATATTAAAGCTAATAGGGCTGCCAGGGTCCACTAATATCTGTTTCTACTTAGAGAAGATAAAGGAATATTGGCAACGTTGAAGGGTGCGAATCTTTGTACCTATTAGCATTAAGTAAACTTATTTTACAAGGATGTTCCAACTTTTCTGACTATAATCTCGAGTGAAATTAACATTTAGTGCACACCTGGCAGCCCTCAATGGACCCTCGATGTCTGCTCTGCAGAAACTTTCTCCCTCGGGCACTGCCACTCTCTCGCTCTCTCTGTTCCATTGTAAAGCGCATGCGTTGCCACACATTCCGGGCTTACAACAACTTCGTTGTGGAGAGAGCTTTCGTGGGAGGTGGGAAAGGGAGAGGGAGGAATGAACTGGACAAAGGCATATTTATTCAAGGTGAGGCATTCCCGTCACTATCCTATGGGTGCAGCTCCAAAACGCATCTATCCTTTGAGCTCTTTCCGGTTATTCCTCGCCCCGTATTCACGTAACTTGCACTGTCCACTGTTAAACAACAGCTGCTTGTTGCCGCTACCATTCAGTTTAACAGCCCAATCAACACCTACAGAGAGTAACCTACACTTTAAAGGACATAAGCCCATAATGAACTCAACGACAGGCGTGAACAAAAACAACATGAGACAGGACAGGCGGGTGACTGGGGGGTGCCAGGGTGACCTGGTGGCAGGGTGAGCGTAGGCGTTGGAAATGAGACGAGTGCGGTGCAGTGGGCAGTAAGTCAGCGACGACAGCTGATCAGGTTGCAAGGGTTGTTTGCTTGCCTCATGATACGATTTAACTATGACATAGGGTTGCCGATGACCGAAAGCGGTTGAAAAAAAGGAAAAACGAACACCACCAAACAAAAAAACAGCTATATACATATACACATGTGAGAAAAGGAGCAGGAATGTCTAGGCCAGGCCAGGCCATGCCATGCCAGAGCCCTATCCCTATCCCAATTCCACTCCCACTCCCCCGGCTCCATCCCCTTGGTAACCGAGACTGGCCAAGTCTGCGGCGGCTCGCTTTCCACATTGTTGTTGCCATTGTTGCATTGACAAGTCAACGTTACTAATGACCCAACGCTATTCATGAAACCCGACAATGCGCCCCTGCCAAAGGAGACGACACATGTGTCTCTGTGTGTGTCCATGTCCTTTGTCGAAGGCTTAGGGAGTGCAAGCGTTGCACTCTGCCTGCCCTGTCTCCGAGTGGCAGCAAATGAGGCATTAATATCCAGTCGGAGACCCCAAACGACCCCGAACCGAACCGAACCGACCCGGCTTATGCCTCTGGCTTCCATGTTTTCGAGTATGTCAGGGCAAATATTAGTATTCCACTTCAATGTTAGCATTTTGTAATGGAAAGTGTTGTCGACGTTTTCGTTGTTGTCATGGCTGCATATCCATCAGTCGAGCAGCCAGCCAAGCGCAAGTAATGTGTCACATTACAAATGTTGTTTCCTTCCCCATTCCACATGTCGCTGGCACACACCCCATTCAACACCACCCCCTCATCGATGGGTGCCAATAACAAAGGCATTAGCTAGACTTCCAGACGGATTTCGAAGCTAGCACACACATCAAGCAATAAGCCATAAGCGGCACTTTATTAACTTATCAAGCAGAAGCAATAAGCAAGCAGCAGGGGTATGCGGATAAAGATTGGGGCGAAGGAGACCTTAGTGCAACAGCAACATTGCATTTATATAGAAGACCAAGGCCAGATCGTTTATATGCTGACTATCGTGGGACTTGTCAGCCACATTATCATCGCCATCATCAGCGTCGTCCTCGAACCAGCTGCCAATTTCCATCACATTGCGCCAGTTCAAAACCTCATTGTAGCCAAAGAGGCCGCAGATTGTTGCTGTCGTGGCAGAACGGGAGGGTACTCGTAAAGATACATCATACAAGTGGCAGATAAGCCGGGCTCACCTTGCTCCAAATATAAATCTCGATACTGCTCGGGCAGCCCCAGGCTCCGTATGGCGTTCTGTTCGCGTACCACCTCATTGCAATGGCTCTTGGCCAGCAGCTCGTACACCTGCGGAGGGCTCAAATGGGGGGCACACACGTGATGCTGCAGCATGTAGAGAAGAAGCACCCTGAAAGGTGGAATGTGGGGTAGGTTTTTGGGTAAGCTATTAAGGGATATACATACTGATGGGTCCTCTGGTAGCCAAAGGTGGGTGCATCGCTGGTCAGCAGCTCCAGGCACTCGTGGGAAGGCAGCTTACAGTTTCTCAATTCGAGCTCCACAATCTCCCTCATGCAGAGATCTAAAGGAGACAAAGAGAGAGAGAGAGAGAGTTTGGGGTATTATTAGGTGTGGGGTTCTATTTCAGCTCACCTGATTGCGTTCTATTGGGGTGGCCCTCGTTGACCACTTTTCCATATATGGCCGCCAGCTGCTCGTACTCTCCATTGGCATCCAATTGACCGTACCTCACCGATGGCGGCAGAAGCATGACGTTTCTCTGAAAGGCACTTTCCAGGACTGGAAGAAACATTGGGATACAAGTGCCCCAATCGGATATTCACATGTTCTATTCGCTCTTACTTTGTCTTTCGATGCCCGTTGCTGTTGCCAGGGAGACACTCGAGCGGCTCTTGATGTGCTCCATCCTGTGCAGCAAATGATAGTATAGTTGCCTCTCGAAGCGAGTGGGCGGCACGTAGCGCAGTTTCTCTGCCAACGATAAATATTCATAAATTCCCATTGTTTACGTGGGGGACATCTGTCATCTCTATCGCACATGCACGGCTCATTAAGCTCACGTTTTATCAGGAATTCGGCCAGGAGCAGGGCGAATGTGGCGCTCGCATTAAGCTTCCGGCTGCAGGACATTTTATCGAGCAACTCGTAGATGCGCTGGGGCAGCTCCTGCTGCCGATCCATTTCGCGGTCCGCCAGCGGAGCTGGTAGCATGCAACACCCGCTAATTGCAGCCAAAACCAGGCCGAGTTTCAAGGCAGCAAGCAACATGTTATCAGCTGTAACGACAGGATTCATCTATGCCGAACTGGGTCCCGGCCACATCGAAATCACATCGCCTCTCGTCTTTGATTTCACTCCCCTTATGAAGATTAATCGTATGACATTTGTCCTGGTCGCTGCTGTGCGTGGGCGACATCGAGTACCGCCTGCTGGATCTTCGCTGCGATGTCCCACTGGTACACAATATTAAGTTTCCCATATTAATCACAATTTAAAACCGAATACATTACTCTGATGAAAGGATTCTGGAATCTGGTGCTACTGCATGGCTATTGATTTTATCAGATAACCGAAGGAACTCAACAGAGAATCAGTTAAACCAATATATATAAGGGATATCATTTTCGCCCTGTTACTCAAGCTGGAGGTTTGGCGCCCCTCTGTTTGAATTTATTAGAGTAGGCAGCAACAGAGCTGTGAACGATAACATTCACTTGGCAGCAAAATACCTTATTGCGCTTGGCCTATCCCTAAACTGGTCACACTGGACTGTCACTTTTTCTTTGTGTAATTTTTTGTAGTGAAAATCTTAAAAGTAGAAAACAATTTACACAGGCAGCCCCGCAACCACTTATAATGTCGGAGAACAAGGACGAGACCCTGGCCAGTTTCCAGGTAAAGTACTCTGGCCACGTCCCCCCGAGAATCACGAGAAACTTCTGTGATTATTTTATGCGCACATTTTCGGTGCGTGTGTGCTGTGTGTTCGCTGTGTGTGGGTGACGTTGTGTGGGATAGTTTTCTCGGATTAACTCAAGATTGTAATGCGAGTGTTCCCCCTTTCATGGTATTCGCAGAACATAACTGGCATCGACGATGTCGGAGAAGCCTTCTCCCACCTGGAGGCTGTCAACTGGAATCTTATGGTAAGTTCTATTCTGCAACGTCACAGGCGTCTTTGTCTCGGTCTTCGCACATGCGTATATACTATTGCGTTGGCGTTTGTTGCTTTGTCTGCTGCAGGATGCCCTGAGCCGAGTCATGCCCCATGACGATGCGCCGCTGTCCAATCCCATACAGGCGGCCCGGCCAGCTGTCCCGGATCCAGTGCAGCCGGGATCGCAATCGAACACAAACGGGTTCAGGCCACCCAGCTACGATGAGCTGCCGGGGCCATCGAATGCCGGCGCCTCCAGCTTCTTTGCTTTGCACAACCATAATCAGAACCAGCGGCATCGGTATCCCAGTGAGTATAATGTGATTACGTCGCATATTCACAAATTACATGGCACATATCTACTATAGCGTCACAATTGCTAGCCCATCTGACGTCGACCATTAACTTGGATCCCTCCAGTCAAAACAACAACCAAAACGTCATGAACTTCAACATACACTTCAATCAGATGTTGTTCCACATACGATTGCCTCCAACAGCAACGATTGGTAGGTACCTCGCGCACCTGTAAGCCGCAACCGAAGGTAATCCCATCCTTTCTTCTGGATTGGCTTCTTTTAGAGCAACTGAAACGCAAAATTTTCGACGCGACCAATGTCCCAGTGTGTCGGCAGGCTATAAGCGGCTGGCCGCCATCGAGGGCCAGCGATGCTCAGATAGGGGGAACACAAATTTGTAATTTAGATTTGTCACAGGAAAACGAGCTGATTCTCGTTGATCTAACCGATGATGGTTTCATGGACACAGAGCCGTAAGCAGATGCAGAAATAATGATTCTTAAAACTCTATTATAAAACGACTTGTCACGCTATCCTTTTAGAGATGAGGTGCCGCAGCGAACAGATAACGATTTCACCATTAAGATATTGTACGAGCCGGAGGGCACCTTCACATTGCGCCTACCCGGACAGACTACCATCCAAGAAGTTAAAATGAATGTCTTCTGCGTGAAGAACATACCAGTGAGGCATCAAGAATGGACCGGCTGGCCCAGTGGTTGTAATAATGAAACAACCTTGGCGGTAAATTCTTTCGGCTATCATCGACATGTGTATTAATCTTTGATGATCGTTTCAGCAATCGGGCATTGAGCTGAATCACCGATTCGTCTTACGAAACATTGCGGAACGCGTTCAATCAAATTCCAATGTGCCTCTCGATGGTGACAACGCACAAACGAGTTCCAGTTTGTTGAACAACGTATTCGATGTTGTGACTCTCGACAGCGAGAGCTCAGCGGATGAGTTTGAGGATGCCACGGACTTCAATACGGCTGAGTACATATTTACAGATTCTCCGCCCGTTCAACCGCTCAACAGACATCTAAGTGAGGACTCAAAAAGCACTTTTTTTATATTTTGCTCTGACTAAAATTGTCGTTTCTCTAGTACCAAACAATACGGATGATGAGACGACTGGCTCCACCCAGTTTGTGGCGAACTACCGGTCCCGGTTCGGTGAGCCCTATCCTGAGTTCTTTGATGGCAGCTTAGATAATGCCTTGCAGCTGGCCTGCCACAAGCCTGCCAAAGAGGTGATAACAACAATAGCACCCAACTATTACCAAAGAGGAAGTGTATATATCATTCTTAATATTTATAGCGTAAACTCTTGGCCATTTACTTACATCACGGCGAGAGCATACTCACGAATGTTTTCTGTGATCATCTGATGAAAGCAGAGAGCATAATTCAGACATTAAAGGAAAAGTTTATTCTCTTCGGCTGGGACATGACCTACGAGAGCAACAAGGATATGTAATTTTACAATTAAATTACCTCCAACTCGCATCAAAAACTTATACTTAATGAATCCATGATATTTTCAGGTTCCTCTCTTTGCTGACGGCTCGTATAAGCAGCAACGCCTCACTCACGGCTAGAAACATAAAGCTGGACAAGCTTCCGGCCATTATGCTAGTTGGAAAGAGCCGACAATTGGGAAGTAACTGCGAGGTTCTCTCTGTGATTCATGGTACGGCAACTCAAAGTCCCTCAAGTCCTTATATTTCATATACAAGCCTTTACTTTTTAGGTAATATTGGTCTTGATGATTTGCTAACGAGGCTCATTGAAACAACCGCCATGTACGAGGAGCAGCTGCAGGTTGAGATACGACAGGAGGATGAAAAAGCGGCACGGGATCAAGTGAAGGCCGAGCAGGACATGGCATACGAGGAAACCCTACAGGCGGACATGGCCAAAGAGGCAGCAAAGAGTCAAAAGGCGGCCGCCCAGGCAGCCGAACGACAGCGCATTGAGTCAGAGCGAGCTGAGGAGAGCGCCAGGCGCGAGTCCATACGATTAGTCGTAAGTAGCTACCAATTAAGTTAAAGAATTTTCTTAACCAAATCTTGTAATTTGGCAGGCTGAACAGTCGCTGCCTCAGGAGCCGGGGGAGCAGGAAACGAACATATTCAAGATACGTGTGCGAAAGCCCACGGGAGATTTTCTCGAAAGAAGATTCTACACTCAAAACAACTTGCAGGTAAGCGGAGGAAGCATCCCTCTTGATCAAAGCCATTATTAACCTGGGATTCTTTTTGAAATCCCTGCAGGATCTGCTGAACTATGTGACCGCCAATGGGTTCCTCATCGAAGAGTACAAACTGATCAGCAGCTGGCCGCGTCGCGATCTGACAGCCATCGAATCTAGCCAAACCCTGGAGATGCTCAAACTGTATCCGCAGGAGACGTTCATACTAGAAGAGCGATGATTTCGTTTCGTTCCGTGTTAAGAGTTTCGTTTTTTCAATTTCAGAAATTGTAGAGTTTATCTATCAGTTAAGTATAATAATTTTAGTGGAGCCCCAAAAGTATACAAACACCGTACACATAATACAAATACAAACATATACTATATCTAATGATAATGGTCTGCTCCAAATAATTGTAATAGTTTTTACAACTATATATATATATATATATATATATATACTCGTACATAAATGAAATATATATAGAAGAAGAAAGTGCATCGAGAAACTGATACATGCCCCAGCAGCAGCCAGCACCAGCACCCAATGACACTTGCGGGATAGCTGATTAGAGAACGGGAATATAAACAAATTTAATGCATTTATGTTGGCTTGTTTTACTTTTATTAATAATAAATTATATAACATGTACTGAACGGCCGGGTGACACTTTGCGCCTAATTACACATAAAACAACATATAAAACGGTGTACTGGAGAGGAGGGTCAGGAATCAAGGGTTAAACAATGAGCACACAAGGTTGTTACGAATATAGGCCATCCCAAATGGATGGGTAAGAGAGCGAATGAGAAAGGGTGGGAGAGCACTGTCTAACGCTACATCTTCCAATCCGATCCAGATTCAGGAGTCTAGGTTTTGCCCAGAAATTGTTCGATGGGAGCCAGCACCACCAGCAAAATCAGCACCACCACAAACAACACCAATACCACACCATAGACGCCCAGCAGCCCCTTGCGCATGGCACCATACTGAAAGAGGGGAAACAAGAATCCGTGTAGTGCATATATAGAAGATTAGAAGAACCTTGACCTACCGGTGCATCCATTTTGCGCTCCATTGTCATGCCATTGCGCATGGCGTGCTGTTGATGATGAGGCGACATTTCGCCCATCTGGAAGGTGTTAGCCCGCTGGCTGAGGTGTCGTTCCGAGGCCAATCCCGTAATCTGCCAATGATTCAAGCACAAGCCAATCTACACATTAATGGACATAGCCACGTTGCTCTTGTGGGACAATGGATGACATATGAATTAGTAGCAGATGAATGAGCGTTTAGGGACACAACTAGAACCTCTGTACAGGCAGGCAATGCAGGGAACCAAGATCTCGATAAAGATCTGGTTTGACTACTCTTTATACACTTTGGGGTCAAATGAAAGGGGTACACACAACCACCCTGGGGTATCAGTCGCTCTACTTACAGAGAATATCAGGTGGACGAGGACATGGACCACCACGAAGCTGACCAAAATCCAGTCCATCCATTCGGGCAGCTCAGCCTTTGGTAGCTTCACCGAAAAGAAGATAGTCACAACTGAAAGATCAAGCAAAGATCATGTTATTCCCAGATGAGTCAACTCTTCTGCGAGGAGTA